GGGAAAGAGGCAATATTTGAACAGCAAAATTTTAATTTGGGTATTCCAACATGGTAGCAACGTGGTGAGTCTGTCTTTTTATTGATATACTGGAAGACGAATTGGAAACGTGCTGAAAAAGTCAGAAAATCAGAAGCAAGGCAGCGAATAACAGACACAGCCGTGATTTCTGTAATTGCAAATGTATCTTGGTCTAAAAATACAAGAAAAAACTCTTTAAAGTGTGGATAATTGGGCAAAAGCACGAGGCTGTGTAACATCCCAGCAGTAGCTAATTTAGTGACTTCAAAGGGCTATTTGTCTAAGGTTTTTACATTTGGAATCTAAAATTATGAGTACAGGGGAATAGATTTAAGTATTCAAAACTACATATCTTTATAATTGTTGCAGAAATTGCAATAAATGAAAGCCTGCCCTACCTGCTCCCCTCTCCATCTCCACCTCAAGGGTTTGTTTTAAATACTACAAATCTTGAAGCAGCTTCAAAGCCACATTTTATTAAAGTAAAAATATTGCAAAGACCATAATTTCTGATTCTTACAATGCCAGGAGGATTTTTTCTCCCCCACTGTTCAACAAACTGCACTTGACCACTCAACTTGTACTTAGTCACAAAGGAAAGCAGCATTTTAACACCTAAACACTTTCTTTTATAGTTGTGCAATCATTTTTTGGAATGAGGAAAACGATACCTGAGATGTCTTAGAGGCTTTAGTGGAGCTCAGCTCCAACCTGGCCTTGGACACTTCCAGGGATGGGGCAGCCACAGCTTCTCTGGGCAACCTGTGCCAGGGCCTCCCCATCCTCACAGCCAACAATTCCTTCCCAATATCCCATCTAACCCTGCCCTCTGGCACTGGGAAGACATTCCCCCTTGTCCTGCCTCTCCAGGCCCTTGTCCAAGGAACCCAGAGCATTCCCAGCAGGCTCTCCCAGGCTGTGAACTGAGGGATGTCCTTGAGGCATCATTTGCAAACAGGATTCTGCTCCCTGTCTTTGCCTTGATCCCAGTGTGGTGTCTTGGGGATCTTCCACCTTTTTTTTTTTTTTTTTCTGTCAATAAGGAAACCAGCAGTGCCTGTTCCTGCTGACTGCAGGTGTGAAAGGACCCTGCTCCAAGGTGGCAGCACAATATTCCAGCTGTCCCTCCCACACCGGCCAATGCTGCAGCATCAGTGCTCAGAGATCAATAAGATCTCGTGATGGAGTTCTCAGCTGAGACATCTGAGTCGTTTTCTGGGAAGAAATCCAAACAACACTTCCAACTTGTTTGCTTTGTCTTTCAAAAGTGCTGTAAAAAAAAAAAAAAGGTCAGAGCAAGAGAAGAATGAAATAAAAAGATGGAGTTGTACAAACTCACCTCAGAGCAGCTCCGGGCAGGGATCCACAAAAATCATGATCATAACCCTCTCAGTTTTCCAAAGAGTTGTTGCAGTAATTTTGCAGGTCAGTTGAGCTTCAAATTTTTCAACTCCAGCTACAGTAAAGTTCAGGATGCTTTACCCCATTTCCCTCAACCAGCCCAAAAAGCATAAACAAATCTCTATTTCCAGCAGCTCCCAAAATTCTGGCTGCAAACTACCAGATAAAGAAATCAATCTCTTAGTATTCAATAGTTTGGTTATCCTGGAATACATAAATGCAATCCATGGGCTGATCCTGGAATACAGATATGGAATCCATGGGCTGATCCTGGAATACAGACATGGAATCCATGGGCTGATCCTGCACATCATCTGCCTTGCATGGAGCTTCACCAACTTTTCTGGGGACCAAGAGCAGCTGAAGGATGAAGCAGCTGAGCTCCTCTGCAACTAAACACGGAAAATGGAAAATTAAAAAGTAAAGGCTTCTGTGGGTACACAGGGTTGTGCCACAAGGGTCATGCCCAAGGAAAATAAACAAACATCAGCAAAACCTCCTGCCAACCACGCTGCCAAGTCATCCTGCCACCTGCCAATTGTTTTTAAATTAAGCATTTAAACTGAACATGGAAAATTTGAGCCACCAGCAACCGTCACAAATGTTGTGGTTGCAGCAGAACAGAAGCTGATTTGCAGTGGCTTCACCTTGAATTTCCCTGGCTGCTGCTGAGAGCAATTACCTGTGAGCCAGCACTCACATCCTGCCTGTCAGAGTCAGCATCCCTTGGGAGACTGAATCCTGGAATCCAGGAATGGTTTGGGTTGGAAGGGACCTTACAGATCATCCAGTTCCACCCCCTGCCGTAGGAAGGGGCACCTTCCCCTTGACCAGTTCCAACCTGGCCTTGGACACTTCCAGGGATGGGGCAGCCACAGCTTCTCTGGGCAACCTGTGCCAGGGCCTCCCCACCCTCACAGGGAAGGGTTTCTCCCCCTCTAATCCCTCAGGAGCTGTGGGCAAAGCCACAATCCACCATCTGATTTTTTTTTTTTTTTTTTAATGTAAGAATGTGTCTGTCACATTAAAAAATAGATGGATATGAAATGTTTGCATTTAAAGGCTTTCATGTTATATTTATGTTGCTTAAAGCGAACTGACTTGTACATAAACAGAAGGGAAATACATTTTTTACCTTTCAAAACACAGGGCAACGAGTAATTTTACAACAATAGCAAAGGATTCCAACTCTCTGTGGTGCCCATCTGATTCATAACCAATTAATCTGATTTTTCTGTCTGACTCCTGTGCGGGGCTGAGTCAGTTCGGCGGGGGCAGAGTCTGGAAGGTGCTGATCAGGAAATATTTTCTCTGAGTCAGAGTCTCCAGTCTCTCCTTTCTCTCAAGTGATGAGGTTGTCGTGTCAAACATCAATTTTCATTCCGAGTTATGTGATGTTTTTTCAGGTAACTGTGAAGGGAAAAAAAAAAAAAGACACAAGGAACTGTAGCTTCAGCAGAGAACAGATAAACTTCAAGGTGACAGGCAAGAAAAAGGCAAATTATGGTCTCATTTACAGAGCAATTCTCTGAGCCACAGGAGAGTTTCAATGATTTGAGCCATAACAATTTGAGCTGAGTCACCAAAAAGTAAATATAATTTAGCCAGATTGCTCAGAAAGGATCTACAGGCTCCTCACTGCTCTTAGTCTCTGTTATTGGGCATTTTTAAAGGTGTGGATACTCAGTTTGTTGAAATTGAAAAGGAAAACCCCCAAGCAGGAGCTGAAAACTAATTCCCTTGGAGTTATTACCAAGATAAATATCAGTTCTTAACTATATAATTTTTGACATATATTTCCTAGGGGGTGGGTTTTACCTCAGTTTACTAAAAAATATCCTTGGACTATAAATTCTCAGACTGTGCTCTTCGTATGCAAATAAAGGACCAATAGAAGTGTCAGATTAATGGATCTGTAGAGGTGGATCAGCCTAACAAAGCTTTCCCATATTGTGATGGTTAATGTTTAACTGGAATACTGGAGGCAGGTCTCTTGTTTCTTATTTCTTTAGACAGGTTGAGAAACCTCCCTTTATACTCCTCAGAACTTAAACCAAGTACTGACTGATTTCTGCTACATAGATATAGATGTAGGATATGTAGGGATAGATGTAGGATATGTAGGGATAAAATTCCTAAATATATAGATTATATAGATTTTTAGGAATATAATTATAGATTATTTAGGAATATAGATTATTTAGAATAAAATTGATATATTCTTTAAAATTTGTACGCACATATGCTTTAAAGCAATTGCCTCAAAAGTATTATCAAATCCCATATAATTTGAAAAATGTAATCACAAGACCATATTATATGAAGAGCAGAAATAAAATACACTGATTTCAAATCTAATCGGTGCTTTAAAGTTTTGGATCAAAAAATCATAAGACCAGAAGAATCAAAGCACAATAACACTGCATTGCAGAACAGGGATTTTCTCCTCCCAAGAAATTCTTTGCCATTTCAAATTCATAAAAAGTTCAGAAATTTCTCCCTGTCATTAAAGTGCAAACCAGAGAAGCTTCAGGACAAGAAATCCACAGGTTTATTTAGTTTCCCCCTAAAGGTTAATTAAAAAACTCTGGATCATCCAGGAGCTCGGGTTCAGTATAATGTGGAATAATGACATTATAGCTAATAGAAATAAAAGCTAATGGATTCTCTGGTACTTCAGCCTGACAATAGATTATTAATTTATATTTCATGTTTTATCCTAAAAAAACAGGGACCCTGGTGTTGAGTTCACCTCAGATTCTAGAAATTTGGCTTCAGTCTTTTAATTAAGCAAGGTAGGTTCTGTAATTTTCTTACCATCTTTTGTCTTTGTCTGGTCAGCTTGGGCTGAAGAAATTAATATATTCTCTTGCTTTATAGTCCAGAACAGATTTTCTTGTTCCTTTTGCATATCCACTCTTTCATTGAAATGAATCCATGTTCAAAGTATTTGTTTCCTCCCTGACAAAAAAAAAAAAAAAAAAAAAAAAAAAAAAAAAAAAAAAAAAAAAAAAAAAAAAAAAAAAAAAAAAAAAAAAAAAAAAAAAAAAAAAAAAAAAAAAAAAAAAAAAAAAAAGAGGAAGGATTTATTGTGAGAAAATATATACAATTTAATTAGGAAAAAGGCTCTTTCTTAGAAAATAATCTACTGGTAGGAGATAGAATGTCATTGCCACATCAAGACCCAAGATCAACCCAGTATTTTCACAAATTTCAAGAATTTAGGAGGTCTCACAAAGGGGAGAGTTGGTCTGGGAACTTGAACAGAGAAGGAACATTTTATGACTTTTTACCATAACACATTAGATACAGACTTAGAAAAACGTCTTTCCAACCTGTTTATCAGTATTTTAAGAGAAAAACCTCAGAACTCTCCCAGAAAAGGTGAGGTGAGCTGGGAACACGACGAGGCTCTGGATGATCTGGGAAGTGCCCATTTGTCAAGGATCATAAATCATCTGCCAGTGATCCCTACCAGCCTTTGCCAGGCTGGTGGTGGTGTAACTATGGCAACACCATTTCCCCAGACCAAAGTTCAATTATTTTACACTTTTATTACAACTGCTGTTCTCTTAAAGTTTACCAGGGTAACTCTCTGTGAGCACAGAGCCCGGACAGCAAGGAGGAGGAAACAACCCCATGGTAGCCGGACTAGAGGGAACAAAATACCCTGAACTGGTGGAAAAATCTCTGCCAAGATGCCTTCCAGGAAGAAAACGACCATGTTTGCATCTTCTTTTTGTACCTGTGTTTCCTCCTTCGTGCTGATTTGCGTGGTGCTGGCGACACAGCAGTGGGTGAGCAGCGAGGTTCGCTTCTCTCGCACCAACAGCAGCGTCACCATCAGCCTCGACTATGGACTCTTCAGGGGCACCTGTGAACAGTTTGTTGAAGCAGGACTTCAGGTGTCCAAAAAGACCTTCCAAGGTGAGTGGTGTTACACCTGGAAATGGATCTGAGAGTAACAGAATGGTTAGATTGGAAGGGACAGTAAAGTCCATCCAGTCCCACCCCCTGCCGTGGGCAGGGACACCCTTCCACCAGCCCAGGTTGCTCCAAGCCCCATCCAACCTGGCCTTGGACACTTGCAGGGATGGGGCAGCCACAGCTTCTCTGGGCAACCTGTGCCAGGGCCTCCCCACCCTCACAGGGAAGGATTCCTTCCCAATCTCTAATGTAAACCTAAAATCTTCTTGCTCGTGGCAGTGACAGACGTCGGACCCGCAGCTCACTCTTATGTTCATCTATAACTATAACACTTCAAGTGAAATCAAGAACAACTGTAGAATAGTCTGGGGATTTAAGTGGTATCAAATAAGACCCTCAAAATGCACAGAAATTCTGCAGCATTCTTGACAATAACAACTTATTTTAATCACCTGTATAATTACCTCATTCCCTTTGGAATGAGGGAAAAGTAAAAAAATGGGAACTTTATGTAAAACTGACTTTCATTTTCAGAAGTTTTCAGTGAGGAACAGAAAAGCAACACTTACCACTTCATTAAGGGATTTACAAACCCAAGTCATCTTCCAGGATTTCCTTTAATTTCATGATGTTACATTTATTGTTTGATTTAAAACATTTTCCACCTCCTACCAAATCAGCATAATTTTCCAGAAAAAGGTTTTAAGACTGCTGAAAGAAAAAGAACAAAACATGTAAAACAACACCCAAAGGTAGATAAGCCTGAAAGCTGTTGCAAGGATCAAGGGTTTGCACTCATTTTATCTGTCTTGCTGTCTCACCACGTTCAAAGCAATAATGCTGATGGCACATGGGGAAAAAAGCCAGTCAAAAGAAACCTAACAAAAATTGGAAGAGTAGGTCAAACAGTTTTAAAACATGAGATACAGAATTAAAATAGATAAAAGGAAGAAATTTTTTACAATTACAGTGGTAAAGGAATAATTTTTTTTTACAGTTATAGTGGTAAAACACTAGCACAGGTTGGCCAGAGAAGCTGTGGCTGCCCCATCCCTGGAAGTGTCCAAGGCCAGGTTGGACGGGGCTTGGAGCAACCTGGGCTAGTGGAAGGTGTCCCTGCCCATGGCAAGTGGTGGGACTGGATGGGCTTTAAGGTCCCTTCCCACCCAAACCAGTCTGGGATCCTGTGATACTCCAATAAATATTTTCCTTTTTTGGTAGGCTGTTGTGAGATGTCCCAGAGAAGCCACCAAGGCAGAGCACAGCAGATTTAAGCCTGCAGGTGGTTCCCATCTCCCAGATCTTTCCCAGCTTAATTTAGCACAGAAACTGTCCCTGTGCAAACAGGCACCCAAATTCCCAGGGTGGCAAAGCTGTGTTACACAATCCAGTTCTCATGAGAACATTCATGGAAATGAATGTCATGAAAACCTGGACACAGCAGCACTCCCAGCAAAACATGGAGAGTGGATTGAGATATTGTCACATAACAATCACAGAATCACGATGCACTTAAACCTGGTTTACTTACAGTCATAGCAGAATAATCATGGCATTTTTAGATTAGTAAATATGCATTAATAAAAATAGTTTCCATATGGTTCTAGCACCCTATGGCAGTTGGCTCAAGCCCCAAACCTTGTACCATGTGGGCAGGTTCTTGCTGATTTTCACTGGGCTCCGTGTGAAACCTGGAGTCCTCCCAGGAGGAGCTGATTGCAGGGTGGGGACACAGGTTGGCTGGAATTCAGGGCATGTGTCTTCTCTTTGTCTGTACAGCGCCTCACACAGCCCAGTCCCAGGGCCTGGGTGTTACCAACAGGTCCATTTTAATTAAAATTAAGGAAAAACACTCACCCAACACTTATATCAGTGAAGGGTTTTGGTTCTTTCGCAGTTTGCACCATCTCAGTGGTGTTGGGTTTTCCCCTCCAGATTCAGGGCTTTGTGATTATCATTTATCAAATGCTGAGATAACGCTCACAGAAAGTTATCTCAGTTCTCACATACCAGTTATTTGGGGCTGAACAAAACGAGTGAGTTTCAGGAGTTGGTTTCCCACAGCTGCTGAAGGAAAGTGATGCTTTAGGAATAGCCCAAAGATGGGTTTGGCCACATCCCTCCCTAGTTCTGTTGGTCACATATCCAAGGGGAGATGAACTGATTTCAAATTAGTTGTTAGGCTGCACACTAGGCATTATTGTCATGTTTTATGTTGTCATTTATGGAAGAAATTCAGGTTGCCCAGAGAAGCTGTGGTTGCCCCATCCCTGGAAGTGTCCAAGGCCAGGTTGGACGGGGTTTGGAGCAACCTGGGCTGGTGGAAGGTGTCCCTGCCCACGGCAGGGGGTGGAATGAGATGATCTTCACTGTCCCTTTCAATCCAAACCATTCTATTCTCTGATCCTACTCCATACATACTTGAAATAGGAAAGACACTTCACAGAATTGCATACATAATATTTTAACTTCCTATAGACAGGTTCCCCTAAGACAGCAAATGTCTTTTCTTTGCTGATTCTTAAGTAAATTGATTTCCTGTTTTATGGAGAAATAAAGTGATGTGCTTTCTCCACTCTAATGTTTCAGACACCGCTAAGAGGAGTTAAAACCAGCCTTTTAACTCACAGCGTGATCCATCACTCAGCAACTGTGTCCTTGCTGGGGGGCCCTGCTGTCGCACCCTGTGTGTGTTCCTCAAATGGCATCGTAATATTTGGGTGTGAGAAAAGGAGGAGGGAAATTATAGAAGGGCAAATCAAAGGTGATAGCTTGGGGATATGAAATATTCGTTAGCAATGGCCCAGGTTGGTTTTTATTAATGGCCATTCAAAAGGTCATCAACAGCCTTTACAAAAAAAACTTATTCTTGCAGAAACCGCAGCACTAAAAGAAATTTTTTAAGTGTAAAGATGAAAGACGAGCACGGTTTCTGCACTGTGCTGTGCATGACCTGCCCAGTCAGGGTGTCTCTTTAACAGACTGCCAGGAACAACCTTAATAGAGCAATAAATCAAAACAGCCACTTCCCAGGCTCTGGGGATGAATGGTCTGGCAAAATGTAGAAGTTATTTAATAACCAAAGCCCTTACAGTCCTCACGAGCTGTTTTCGTGATTTCTCTTAGCAAGGAGCCACCTATGAATGTACCAGTCTGTGAGAGCTTGTTTACAGCTCTGCTTGTGTCCATGTCGAAGTTGAGCAATGCCCAGGAAGAGGCACACCCAGAGAGTCCTGGAATGTCAGGATTTATCCAAATGTCTGCAGCCAGCCAGGCCAACACCACATGAGGAAGCCTTTGAAATTTGCTGTAAGCAGAGAGGAATCAATTTTTCCTAACTTTTAAATAACAAGAAAAATGCCTGAAAATCAGTTTCCTGATGTGCTATGGGATGTCCTGAAAACTGGGAAACTCAGTTGAACTCTGCTTGGGGTTTTTTTTTTGTTTGTTTGGCTTTTTCTTCTTAATGAAAAATTCATTATGTGTCAAAAGTGATCAGAGAGCTCACCAAAGCTGCCAGATTGGCACTGCTTGGAAGGCTGACTCAGGTCCATACAAGTTTGGGAAATTCTATCCAAATAGATAAGAATTAAGGATGGGGGGAGGGGTGGGGGGAATAAAAAAAAAAAAGATACAGGAAAATAAGGAGCGATCTGGGCAGGGCAAACCCCCGTTTCCATTGCAGAATGATGTTATTTTACACAGATGGTGCAGGTTACTATTGACCCCACTCAAACAGATCAGCTCCTTCAGTTCGCACAGACTGCTTTATTTAGGGGGGAAAAAAATCTGCTGCCATGAAAACAACATTTTCTTTAAACCCTTTAGCCTTGTGCTGTTACAACAGCTGAAGTCTGATAAAATGACACCCCCTAAACTGCTGATCGCTGTCAGAGATAAACAAGATCAATTAGGGGCTGCAATAGGTGTAGCCAGTCAATCCTGGAGATGTTCCGAGTGATAAAATTAAGCGAGGCTGCCAGAGGGAAATTACACAAGCCCGGCTGATTTGGCTCCAGACTTACATCTTGTGCAAGAAATACATCAGAGGTGATGCCCGGGCTGCTTCAGCCTGACTGCAGGTACAACCAGCAGCATGCTCACTTCCATTTAACTGAGTGATAGCCCCTGGATGCCCTTCTTTCCTGTTCTTCTAGGAAAATTGCTTACATTTACCACTGATTTCCATAACACATCCTTACCTCAAACAGACATTAACTTCTACCTGCCGCTATTACATAAAATGAAAGAGAACTTCTCCTTTTCATTTCTTCCCAATAGCTCTTCTTTTTATTATGTTTATTTCTCTTTATGGGGTTTTTTAGTACTTTTTTCCCTGCTATGATTTCTCCCATTTAGGCACTACCCGAACACTTCGCAGTAAATGGCTTTGTGTTAAAAGCAGAATAGAGGGGGAATTTTCCTACACGTCTGTCTATCACAACACCCATTTGAATAGAGCTGGGAAACACTGTCATTGTGTTTGTTACAACATCAGGCAGCCACAGGCACATTACAGTGGCCTTTTCAATCTTTAAATTGAAAAGGGGAAAATAATATATCTCAACACAGCTATACTGCAATTACACTTGGAGGATATTGTGTCTCCTATTATCAGCAACCTATGGAATGACTGGAAGGATTGAGGCAAAAAAAAAAAAAAAAATCAATAAAATTGATGGCAAGTCCTGGAGGGGCTGAAAATGTGCCATGAACACGTGGCCAGACACTCCTGCAGCTCCAGAAACTACAGAGGGCAATGGCCTGTGTGTATCAGCTGTAACAAGCTGGAGCCAAAAGGAGAGGGGCCAGGATCTGATCTCAAGGTGGAGACCCTGGGACCACAAAGCTCAGCCCTGTGGTTGGAAAAGCCCTCCTAGCCCATCGAGTCCACCCTGTGCCCCATCCCCACCTTGTCCCCCAGCCCAGGGCACTGAGTGCCACAGCCAGTCGTTCCCAGGACACCAGGCACAAGCCCCACACAAGCAGCAGGATCAGTGGCCAGCAAATGCACTCCCTGTTCCTAATTTCACACAAGCCTGGCTGCTGGAGTTGTTATTTTAAGCCAGTGGAGGCTTTGAGATACAATGAACACGGGGTGTGTGAGCTTGCACTGAAACCTTCATCACATCAACATAATGAAAAAATACCCCAGATTTGTATTTCCCTCATCTTCCCTCCCTTACAGAAACAGTGCCTGTGAGCAGGGCTCTTCATTTAAAAGCCCAAGCCAAGCAAAATCCGAGGATTTGTGTTTTAAGTTATCCCTGAGTAATTAAGAACTGCTCAGCTCAGGGTGGGAGCTGCAGGGAGGGATTTTCACCCCTGAACACGTTGCCCCAGCTCATCCCAAAAACTACGTACACAAGAAATTAATTTTAAAATTCAGTGGATTTAGGGGTGAAAGAGAATGGAAAGTGGGAAGAGGAACATCACCACACCGAAGCTGCAGTAAAGGGTGGATGGTGCAGCAGATCTGATGATCAGCTGCAGATGTCCTATAACATCTCCAAAGAAGGAGTGGCTCCCTTCTTTTAAAAGAAAGGAACAAGTACTGCCTCCACCAATTTTATTTTTTTTTGCAGGGCATGGAGACAGATCCAGTCAGGATATGAGCTCTACCCTCCTCACCTGTCCATGTATGACCATGCTTAGCTACATTATTCCTGCAAATCTACCTGGCCCTTCCTAAGAGAGTCTTATTCCCTTAGAAGCTGTTCCTCTTGTCAAATTTATTCCATGGGAGGGAAACTGATGCTATACTAAGAGAGAATAACCTACAATTGGAGCAGTTTTAAATAATTATGGAATTTACCAGACATGGGCAGAGGAACACCTGGTTTTCTGGCCTAGCTTAAGCATAAAATTTCTGTCTGACCATGTGAGGAGGAAGTTTTTACAGAAGTATTAAGGAAGAGAAGTTCCTTACCTAGCCAGTGCCCAGGAGGTTTTTGTGCCTGCAGGAGAAGTAAACATGCCTTTTTTTTAGCCCTGTGTAGCTTCACCCCATGTGGGGTTGGGATTCATGTGCTGTGCCCAAACCTGTTCCTTTACATCCTGATCTCTACAGATCAATGAAGTCTCTCTTTATCAGCTTTTAATTACAGCCACATCAGTGAGTCATAAACTTGTCAGAGTCCACCAGACCACGAGGGGAAAGCTGATTATCATAAAATCATTAACACTGGAGAACACCTCTAAGAACATTAAGCCCAACCTTTAACCCAGCAGCACTAACCCATGCCCCCAGGTGCCACATCCACGTGTCTTCTGAACACTTCCAGGGATGGGAACTCCACCACTGCCCTGGCAGCCTTTTCCAGTTCCTGACCACCCTTTGCAGTGAATAAATATTTCCTAATATCCAATTTAAACCTCCCCTGGCACAAGTTGAGGCTGTGTCCTCTCCTCCTGTCCCTTCTCCGTGCTGAGCCCCTGTATTTCAGTTGCAGATTCCCTGAGCAGCACCAAGGCAAAAAGCACCAACGTTGCCATTATTGTGGTTCTGGTTCTCAGTTTACTGACTTCCCTTCTGAGCTCTGGATTTACCTGCACCAATGCTGTCAGCAATCCCTACCAGACATTTCTGGGACCCATTGGAGTCTACACCTGGAATTCCATATGTGGTGAGTAACACATCCCATCCCACTTCCTGTCCACCTTTGGATGAATACCTTGGCTCAAAGATTAAGAAATAGATATCTGGAAAAGGAAACATTTAGAAAAGCGTTTTGCTCAGTAGGTTTAGTTTTTAACTGTGTCACCTGAAAACTATCTTTTACCATCAGTAAAATTGTATTGTATAGCAGTAAAATTATGTTTATATAATAGTATATATGGGGAGCAGCAGTTAGAAGGACCGAGCCGTGGCAAACTTTATTTCCTTCTCTAAAAAAAAAAAAAAAAAAAAAACAAACCACTTTCACAGATCAAAATAAGTCTTAACATTCTCTAAGCATAAAAAAAAAAAGGGTAGAGACACTGAGTCATTAGAGCCTGAACCCTGACAAAGGGCTCCCTGAAGGTGCAACCCCAGGTTCAGCTGGTTGGCTGCTCCCAACACACCCTCCTGCCCTCCTGGACATGTGCTGGCAATGACTCTAGCTCTCACACTCAATTTATCTCAAGAGGATTATGTGTTCCTCTAATAATGGGTTTGCACTTGAATAATTTCCTTTTAAGACATCTGATTACAGGGTGCTTCAACAAGAGCATTTTACCCTTCAAAAGCTCTTCAGGTCTGAAGACGGGAGGGAGGTCTGTCCCCAGCAGCACCATCATCAAAATCAGACCTTGGTGGAAAGGCAATTGCAAGGGTAAATTTAGTTTTAATCATAGCAAGCACCCCCTTTTTTAACACATCATGTAAAGACAGATGCAGAAACAGCTGTGAAATGCAGCAAGAAAAGTGAACAAAGGCCCAACTCAGACAATTACTCACTTTTGAGACAAGCAGGTCATTGTCTCGTCACGAGGAGGTTGTTCCTTTCCTGAGCACTCCGAACCTGCAAGCTCTGACTTGAAATGAAAGGGCCATGGACTTGCCAAAATAAATGTTGGTGAGAAAATAAACCCCCATGCTGGCTGAGGGTTGTGGTTCCTTTTTACAACCCTGTGAGTGCTGTGACCTGGAAGCCTATTTTGCTGTGGGTGTATTTTTCTGAACACTCACACATCATTTGATGTGGGAGGCTGTCTTAGACGTTCCTAATTCTCTTACCAGATGGCCTGAAAGTCCTGAAAAAAAACCTGAACCTGTTTCAGCCTGAACTTGTGTAGGATGATGTACCTGGAGGAATGGAATGGAACTATTTCCACCAACGTTCAGAGGCTGCACCTCTGTTAGCACAATGAAAGTGGGGAAGTAAAACTATTATTTAGCTAAATTTCAAAGTAACTGAACTCCTTTTACACTTATAAGGCTGTAAGAAATAGATACAGATATAAGAAGACATTGAATTTTGGCTCATAACAGAGTCATCAAATAATTTGAGTTGGAGAGAACATGAGGGGTCTAAATTTAAGCTCTTGTGCCAAGCTGGGCCAACCCTGAAGCCAGACCAGGTTTTATCCAGCTCTGATGCTGCCCACCCCATGGATTTGGTGTCATATCAGATAGACAATCCATGAATACATTATACTCATCAGCACTAAATTCGGTGAAAAACAGCTAAATTAAATGGCCTTGTCTAATAATACTCAGTGAGAATCCAGTACTTTTAGAAGATGACATCATTGACTATTTCAAAACACCTGGCAGATATTATTGGGTAGGACAAAGATTCTATAAATGCCCTTACAATTCACTAATGGAAAATATTTTGTCTGAGTGCAGGTATTTAACCAATTTAAGCAGACTCTTTCCAAGCAGCTATATAAATACCACTGTGGCTTCCCCTCTGATGTTTGTATTTCTGTTTTCTAGGAATCCTCATCCTCATAGCCATGATCCTTTTCCCTGTGAACATAGAAGCACACGGCCTGTCTGAAGAATTGGCCCATGGATGTTCCACCTCTCTGCAGAGTCACATCAAGTCTCAGCACAGTTATGGATATTCCTACTGGATCTTGCTGCTCATCCTTTTCCTGAACATTGCTTCCCTCATCATCATATATTTCTATGACCACGCAAGATATTCTAAGAAGAAAGAGCAGGAAAGGCCCATTGAAAATGCACCAAAAGATGTCATTCTGTTTTAAGGACACCACAGAAAAGAGGGTGCAGAAGGAAAATGACTATTTAATGTGGACAAGTAATTTCCATTCAAACTGAACTGTGCGTTGCAGTTCAATTGACAAATTGGTTTGAAGGCACAGTGGTCTATTTTGGTTTTAGCTGCCTTCTGCTTCACCCTTGGGGTCTGAACAGGAAGATCAAAGACAGTGTTTTAGTTGTGTATGTGATTTGGGATCTCAAGGGGCAGGAATATCCCTTGGGATGATGAGAAATGGTCACTAAGGGGGTCGGTGCTACATTTTGTCCTTTCTCTACCTAAGGATCTTCTCCTGCAGGTCCCTGTGGAACTGCCCAGGTGACCACAGGGAGTTGGGAAGGCTCCTGTGCATAGGCAGGAGTGTGAGAACTTGTGGACAAAGCCCACAGAAGACAGTGGTGGATTCTCCATCCCTGGAAGGATTTAAAAGCTGCGTGGATGTGGCACTTGGGGACGTGGGTTAGTGGTGGCCTCAGCAGGGTTGGGGGAACAGTTGGAGGGCTTTTCCAACTTAAACAATTCTGTAATTCTGTGACAGCATAGGAACCTAGTATTAACAAGTTATTAATTTGTAGAAACATCAGGAAAATCTCGTTTCTGGCTATTTATAGACCTTTGATTCCTGCCAAGAGCAAAGGGCAAAGCCACACCCTGAGCACACTTTGCCCCCTCACTTACACAACCCAGGCTGTCACATTGCCCTGACACAACACACCAATAAGAGGGTTTTTTAGTGATGATTTACAGCCAGGACCGTCCCCATGCCTTGTTTAGTTAGTATTTAATATGCATATAAAGCCACACAACTATAGAACAGCACAGAAGTGAGGGATCTCCCTTCCTGTTCCCTCAGGGGACAGTGAGCAGATGAATGTGACCTTGGGACAGATGTCACAGAGCAGAACCACGCTTGGAGCACGTGTCCCAGGAGAAGTTCACTGTGCTAAACTGGCCAGCACCTTCTGCTCCTTTGCCCCTCGCCTCTTCAGCCAGGAGAGCTGGTTTTGTTCCTTTAAAAAGGAAAAAAAAGACTTATTTCCCTTCACATTACGATTTTCACAGCCGTGCTCTGCATCTGTCCTGTGATACCAGAGGTGCTCGTGGGGACAAAAAAAGCATTTTAAAGAGGGAATGAGAAGACACAAGAGGTGACTTCTCACTATTTATCTCAAAAAAATAAAGTTCCAAGATGAAAGCACCCAACGTGCTCCATCCAAGGAATCAAAGCAAAGGGAGATTCTCCATCCTGCTTGTGCACTTGGTTGAAAGGGTGATGAGGGCAGAATGGGGGGAGGGGGGGGGGAATTAGAAATAAAAGAGGGTTTCTAAGACTTGAGGTCAGCAAAGCCAGGGATGTTACCTGCTCTGCAGTGCTGACAGAGCCCTGCCTATGAGAGCTGCAAAGATTGCAGTGAAACACTTGGGTGCTGCAGTGGCAAAAAGCCAGACATTTGCCAGTTTTGCTTTGGCTGCAAAAACGTTCACACAGTTTCAGCGTTCAGCTGTCACTGTTGGGCCCAGCCAGCATCCATCTCACAGCACACTCACACTCAGAGCAGCCCTCACGGAGAAATAAAAGTCCTAACGCTGGAAAAGCAAAGAATTCCTGCTTTGGGAAGCAACGGTGTGGCACTGCCTGGGAATTTCTGTTGCACTGAAGCGCTAATACCTACGAAAGAGCTGAAAAACAAAATAAATCCTGCTTTTGTGGGCCTATTTGAAGCACGTGGCTCTGGTAAAAATCAGCCTGGAGGTCTCCTGGTTTCCTGCAGATATTTGCAGCTGTGAGGTGGTAGGACATAACACACACACGTGGCACTGGAAAGTCACTGGATAACAAGAATTACAAGATAACAAGAACTAAGTTTGATGTGAACTACAGATCAAAGTCACCCCAACACTAAAAAAATCTAATTTAAATTGAATTTGAACCTGTAAGTGACTAACAAGGCTGCCTTGAGATTCTCTGTCTGAACGTTTTACTTCAAATTAAGGATGGGATTTCCCTTCCCAAGCTCCAAACGATCCTCTCAGCCCTGTGCCACCCCCCCCTTCTGCCTCGTGCCAGGGTGTCAGCGTGGCAGATGCTGCTGATGGAGATGGGGAAGGGAGGGGAAGGGGGAATGAGGCCGAGGAAGGCGAGAGAGCTCCCCGTGGTGCCCCCAGGAGGGTCTGCACATCCCTGCACGGCTGAACTCACCCAACCTCGGCCGGGGGAGCACGAGGCACGTGGGGAGAAGGGAACACACACAGAACCATCACCAGCTTTTCACCCTGCATTTCCCTAAGATGCCCCGACAGCCCTGCAAAGTCGCAGCAAAGCGCTGTGTGCAGTGGGGGGTGTTATAATTTATAGGTCACCCAGAGAAAGCTGTGGATGCCACATCTTTGGAAGTGATTAAGGCCAGGTTGGACGGGGCTTGGAGCATCCTGGGATAGTGGAAGGTGTCCCTGCCCACGGCAGGGGGTGGAACGAGATGGGGTTTAAGGTCCCTTCCAGCCCAAACCGTTCTGGGATTTTATAAAACATTTTCCTGGTCATCCTGGTTTCAGGCTCTCCTCCCTTTCACCCAGCACCCAAACCTTCCTCAGGGCTGCAAGGGGAATATTTATTTTTAATTCTCTGTAGTAGAAATCATTACTGTGTTGGCGATCCCGTGCTTGATTTAGAACATTGATTGTTAATTCTGGCAGTTCTCCTACCAGCTGAGATTTTTAAATAGCAGGAGCTGGATGACTCTTTAGCAGAATTGCTCCTGGGGGACAGAGATTGGTTTTATTGACTGAGTCTCTTTGCCTGTGGGTAACAGCAAAGCTGCACTGGCTCTTTTTTCTGTAATTGTGAAGTTAAGCAGCCTCTGCTGTGCTGTCAAGTAGCTGTGCCCACATCAGAAATTATTGCATTTGCCTGCTGTGAGGTTTGCAATGTGTCTTATTAAATGTTTTCAGCTGCTGCTAAACATTAAGGTGACTGATAATTTACTGGGTATTGAGGATCTTCTGTGGTTTCAAAGGAAAAGCTGCCTTTATTCTGCATTTCTACTGTTTCTGCATTTGGTGTAACTTTTATCCAGTGTGAAACTTTTAGAGTGAATCATAAAGCTAAAGTAGATCTTGCATTAAAAGAATCACAGAATGGTTTGGGTTAGAAGGGACCTTAAAGCCCTCTCTTTCCACCCCCTTGCCATGGGCAGGGACACCTTCCACTATCCCAGGTTGCTCCAAGCTCTGTCCAACCTGGCCTTGGACACTTCCAGGGATGGGGCAGCCACAGCTTCTCTGGGCAACCTGTGCCAGGGCATCACCACCCTCAGAGGGGAGAATTTCTTCCTGATTAACTTAAATCTCTCCTCTTTAGTTTAAAACTATCCCTCCTTGTTCTATCCTCCTACAGAAAGCAAGGTGAGAATGTATTATCAATTTCATGTTATATTTGATTATTTTAAAACCTGTCATTCAATAATGATTGTAGAAACACTCAAATTATTTACTTAGCCAGAGAAAAATGAGTCACTTAGTCAGAGTAACCACTATGGATATATCAGCATGGATTGGGAGTAAGGGACTGCCTTGGATTTTTCCTGGGGGGAGAAAAAGAAGGAAGAGAGGGGAGCAGATGTTTGCCTTGCTGGATAATCTGCCTCTTGTTCCTCTCCACTCAAGCTCAGTTTTTGGCATTTCTGAGCCACCTTCAGACCCGGGGCCCGAGGCAAGGAGCACTTTGGTCACACCCTGCCTTGGCCCCACTGAGCTGGGAGCTGGAATCTGATGTGGGAGCAGGGATTCATCTTTCAGCCGGGATCCTTCCCTTGACCTGCTCAGACACAGCTCCTGCTGAAAAGCAACACTCCAGCTACTGGCAAGTGATGAATGTGTAAAATTACCCCGGGTTTAGATAAGATGAGAGCTTGATTTTTCTTTCAGGAGCGCATCAGGCTGACAGTGCAAGCTTTTCCCTTTTCACCTGAGGGGAAACTGCCAGAATTTGTCCTCATTAGGAGGAGAAGTGCACTGAACACAGCTCCATTCATTCCAAAGGCTGCCTGGTTGGCAAGAGCCAGCCCAATTCCTTTTTGATATCTTAAAACCTAATGCAAGGTTGGATTAGGTTGCATCCTTTATTTTTTTCTCTTTTCCTCTGATGGGAGGATGGGCAATCCCTTCTCCTGAGCTTTTCATTTAGCCAACAGATACCTGGACTTGGCTTCCTGTTATTCATCCCATTTATTTGCCTGGCAGGGCCCGCCCTGTCCTGGATGGCTCCTGGTCCACCTACTCTCTCCTCAGGATAATTCCAGAGCTCTTCTATTTTGTAATTTAACTTGGAAAAGGTGCTTCCAAAGCCATGGGAGCCACTCACCTGCTAAGTGACCTTTTTAACTATTCATTACAGACCAGGTTGCTCCAAGTCCCATCTAACCCTGCCTTGGACACAATCCTGAATCACCCAGTTCTCTCAGGGCCATGAACTCCAGGCATTTATGGCCTTCTGCTGGAGAAGCAGGTGCCAAAACACATCAAAACCTCTTGGAAGAATAAGAAATAAGGAAATAAACTCCCCCAAAACAGCATTTGCTGCAATAATTCGGGACACTGAGTTTTCCTTTCCTGTTCAGGAGAACATCTTGGTTCTGCTCCTGTGCATAAAGGAGAATTTTTTAGGAAATTAAGGGGGATCCTGTCGGGTGTTTATTCCTATTTTCCTGAGGCTGTTTGCCTCGGGAGCCATAAGAGGGCAGCAGGCTCCTTCCTAGGATTTACTGCCAGCCTTGGCTTTGCTTTTCTGCTTTATTTTCCTGGGAATGGGACAGCGAAACAGAGAGGGAGGGACAGGGAGATCTGTCCTAACTCTGCCTTGCAAAGAGATGTTGTATTTCCCCTCCTTCGTTTGAGATACAGGAAAAAAAAGAAAACCAAAAAGACAAACAGATTAAAAACATTACCAAAGTTATACATTAATTTGAAGGCTCTGACATCCCAACTCTGTGGGTGCCCTGGGAATGAGCACAGGGGGTACAAGCAGAGTGGTGGGTTGATTGTACATACACTGGAAAAGGGTTTTTTTTGTTAATTCCCAGTATTGAAAAGAGGTAAATTTCCCAAACAACAACAAAACAAAAACCCAAACCAAACAAA